GCGACAGGGCCCGGTGACATAGACACCGTGCGGGCTGCCATAGAGGCCATGAACAGCTTCTACAACGAGACAACTGGGCTCTGGGACACGGGCCCCTGGTGGCATAGCGGCGTCGCCCTGCGCGCCATCGCCGAGTACATGCTCATAACGGGGTCCGACGAATACGTCGACATGGCCGCTTACACGGTGGCAACCCAGCGCGCTCCGCTGGACTGGTGGCCCGAGGGCGGCGGGGACTTCCGCGCCGACAGCACCGATGACACGGGGTGGTGGGCTCTCGCCTTGGCCTCGTTGTATCAGCTCACCGGGAACTCGACGTACCTGGATCTCGCAAAGGTGGACGAGGCCTACATGTACGACTACTGGAACACGGCGACGTGCGGAGGCGGGCTCATATGGAATATCCCGAACATGACCTACCACAACGCCATCTCCAACGAACTATACCTCGAGCTCACGGCCACGCTGCACAACCTCATCCCCGGCGACACCTTCTACCTGGGCCAGGCCCTGAAGGAGTGGGCGTGGTTCAACGCCACCGGCATGATCAACGGCGAGGGGCTCATCAACGACGGCCTGACGGAGGACGCGTCCTGCGTCAACAACGGCCAACCCGTCTGGTCGTATAACCAAGGCGTCGTCCTCGCCGGCCTTGTCCAGCTCTCCGTCGCCACGGACGACAGCACATACCTCGGCGTGGCGCGTGGCATCGCCGAGGCCGTGCTGAGGGACGGCTCGCTGTCGCCCGACGGGATCCTGACGGAGAGCGCCTGCGCCACGGCCGAGGAATGCGAGCCCAACGGCACCGCGTTCAAGGGGATCTTCATGCGAGGCCTCGCGAAACTCGACGCCGCCCTCGACGACCATCCGTTCGCATCGTATATTCGGCAGAATGCACAGGCGGCGTACGATAACGCGAGAAATGGCTCCGATTTCTACGGCTTCGCTTGGCAGGGGCCCTTCGATAATGGGACCATCGGGAGGCAGGAATCGGCCGTGGACCTGCTCCTGTCTGCGCTCGAGCTGAGCGGCAACGGTGTTGATGATGGGTGATTGTCGGGCATGGAGACCAGAGCCGGATCAAGTCAGATCAGTATGTTCGACTTAGGGCTTGTCTCGGCCTGTAGCATGGTCGTACTCCCATATTTGTATCGTGGATCGCATCAACCAGCCGAACCGTCTACTAATTGACCGAATGGGCTCACGGAGAGTTCCGCGACGGGGCCTCACGACATCCAACCCCTCGCGGCAAGAGAACTCTTCCCGGCTTATTCTAGGGCGTATCCTCCCATCCTCCTGCCTTTGATGTCACCGCCGGAGCAAGCAAGACGCGCCCATAACACACCCCATACCGGGAAAAGATCCGGCTTCCCTGCGAACAGATCCTCCTCCTGCTGCGCAATACTTCTCTACGACGTCCGGATGGCCTTCTAGCACTAGCTGTAGTACTCCATACGTCCGACTGGTCCGCTTCGAGCGGATAGCGGCTTCAAATAGACGCTGGTGCGCATTTGCAGGGACTACATGCGGCCAGTCGGTAAAAGCCTATGATCATCATGGGCTAATGTGCGTTCCATGAAGGCTTCATCGTCGAGTAGAACTATTCTGGGTTATACGATGGCCAGGAAGCTATGTCGCTCTTCACGCCCGATTGTTCGTCAGGTTGTTTAGTACAGCAACTTAAATCCAAGTAAATTATCCGATTTCGTAGCGGATAGTTGAACGCATATTGGCGGCAAACATGACAGTAACGGAGTGAGCTAGCAAGCAAGAATCGATCAATTGCTTCTCCCACATCTATATTCATGTTCTGTTATCCTGTGGTGTTACATGAGCGTGAATTTGGGCCAATGCCTGCCTGTGGATGGTGTCCGGTTGTATTATGCCCTTAATCCTTCCAATCCGAGATCTGAGTAGGGGGTTGGTTGGTAATTATGCTACAATATCCCGGACGTTGTGTCACCATATCCATTCCAAAACCCCGCGCCGTACCCCCCCAAAGCAACCCTTCTTACACACTCCTATTTTATAATGATCATCATCATGGAGCCTCGCCCAGCGATACATAGCACTGGCGCGGGTTGTTCGTGATGGTGTCGTACGAGTCGCGCGAGTTCAACTTGTCCGACAGCTGGCGGAACTCGAAATTCCACACCAGCAACGCCAGCACGATGCGCGTCTCGAGGTACGCCAGCCGCCTGCCGAAACACCCGCGAGGACCCAGGCTGAAAGCCATCATGGGCCCGCTCTGGGCGTTATACACGACGTTTCCGCTCTCCTCGTCGGTCTTCAGCCAGCGCTCGGGCTTGAAGAGGTGCATGTCGCTCGGGTCCCAGCTCCCGTAGAAGAGCTTCTTCTCGCGCGAGGACGGGCTCCGGACGCTCTCCGGCACCGGGATGGAGGGGGACTTGTAGCCGGGCCCGTCCCCGACCAGGAACACGGCGGTCCCCTTGCGGATCTTGTGGCCCAGGATTTCGGTGTCGACGAGAGCCTCCCGCAGTGTTATTGAGATGGGCGAGTTGAAGCGGAGCGATTCCTCGAGGACGGCGTCGAGGTACGGGACCTGTGTCTTCCATAGTTCGACGACGTTGGGCTGCCGTCCCTCGGCATATGCCGCTGCGTACGCCGTGCGAAGAGCCGATCGTAGTTTCGCCTGGACTTCCGGATAGTCCGCGACATTCTTAACCATCCCTACTCAGACAGGCAATGATGAGTTAAGTGGTTCACTACTGTCTCGCTTGACCGGGGAAACTGAGGGGCATAGGGGCTTTGTAAAACTGCTCAAGTTCACTTACATGACAACGCTGTCGAGCTCGTATCGTGCCCGGCAATGATATACCCGAAAAGCTGCAGAGGTGTAGGTCAGCGGGTCAGTCCCTTTTATTTTATTTATATCGTAGAGGCGGGGACTCACCTCGTCGTGGATCCGAGGCGAGTGGAAGACCGGCTCGCGCCCAGCCTTGTCTGCGGCGTTCATCTCCCGCTGCAGGATATGGTCCATGGCCGACCGCGTCCCGCTCTCGCCCTTGCGCAGGCGGACGACGGCCTTGTCGATCTCGTCGCGGAGGAACTTGTCCCTCCGAGCAAAGTTCTTCCTCAGCGTGGGGCTCGTCAGCATCTGGAAGCGGTGGGCCAGCTGCGGGAACGGCGTCTTGAACTGGTCGCCGAGGTGGATCTCGATGGCTTCGATGGCGGCGATGTCGGGCATGACGGGAAGCTCTGGGAACGAGACGCTTCCGTCGCCGTTGGGCGGGGGCCTGAAGCCTGGCCGGGCGAGCAGGTGGTCGAGCTGGTTCTTGACCGTGCTGTGATGGTCTTCGAGGCCAAAGGCGACGGAATTGATGATGTCTAGCGCGGCGTCGAAGATATCCCTGCGTGCGTTGAAAGGTTGGCTTTGTCCCATGTTGGACTTGAGACGCCATAAGTCGATCAGAGCCATCGACTTGGCATAGATTTGTGGTGCCGAAACCTGTGAGGAGGATCAGTCAGTTCGCTCATCGTTCCTGATCACTTCACTAGACGATCTTACCTCGTGTAAGAAGTTGGGAGTCATCAGGTCCCGAACAAGCTCTCTGTTTAGCTTGAAACGAGGATCTGCTGATGCCATGGCCTATTATACCACCAGAGTCAATGACGTCCACTTGACGTGTAACGATAACCTTAAGATTTCGAGAGCTTGCATGGGGAGCAGGCAAGAAAATGCCTGTCGAGGCAATTTACGGAGGAGTAAAATACGCCAGGGGACTAACGATGTGGTGGTTCGGGGCCACGCCCTCGAAAGCACTCGTATTTCGAGGGCCCCGGTCGAATTCACGGGTACGCCTCAACAATATATCTTGCGTCTCCCGGTAATCGGAAAGAATCAGACTGGGGCTTTGTAGCGGCCCCAGCCAGACCTGAGTGAGGGCGGACTGATGCCGTCTCGAATGTCCCCCGAAGAACGGCCGCGTCTTCCCCGTGGTGCGTAGCATGGAGACTATCTCGGGGAGGTTGCCGAGGAGGTTATTTTTCGCGCTCTCATCGTAAGGAATACCCGGGATAGGCTTTGGTAAAGCCCAACGGTAGGCCAGATACGACGCCACCAAGATGGCGACGAAGAAGAAAAGAGCATTGCCCAAACTCGGAAGGAATAAAAGCTGAGACGCCATGTTGGGCATAGGCAGGCACTGGATGAGATTGAGTGATGAACGGTGAGGATGCTGGAAGCAACTAACTAACTAATTAATAGTCGCCAGTTGCCAGCAATGCCGAGGAAACGATTGGACAGGCAACCTTTCGATTAAATACTCAAAAAAAATCACCAGGTACCACCGCAATTGGCATGAAGGCGAGTGATGATACGGTTGAAGTCGCGCCCCGACGGGCCCGGACTAGGTCATTATGACTCGAAGATCTGATATCGAGCAACCCAGCCCTATGTGTGATAACGCCCGTCTAACCTGTATAGGAGAGACGGACACGTAAGTGAGAATCCATCCAGACAACTTCCATCGCCTAGAACTCAATGCCGGTCCCGTTCTCCTATCTAATGCGTTGACCTAGTACTAAAAGTGAATACGTACACCTAATACAGGTCCCTAGAGTCTAGAGACAGGCTTGTATGTGGAGATGGGCTGTGTCGAGGCGGCTAACCTAGTCTATTGCACCGGCGCAACTAATGACCCCGTGTCAAACCCAGCCCGGTTCAATACGTTGAAAGTGTCCGACAGAGCAGTCTGCCGCCTTGTTATTCCCTTCTTATTATAAGGCATGATAGGCGACTGTTTACATAATACAAGTGAGAGTTTAATTTTTCCGCGCCGCTTTGCACCGGAGTTAATGCTTTATCAGGATATGCTGATGTTTTTATAAGTATTTATTAAATGTTAATTACTTTTGTTTAAAAAAAATTTAATCAATGTTATAAAGTCGTTGATAAGCGATCGAATAATTATATAATTGACGTGTATCTTGTATTGTACAACTGAAAAAAAAATCTTTTAGGGAAAAGAGAAAAAGAACTCCGAATCGGGGAATCGAACCCCGGGCTTGACGGCACTTCTATCAACAACACCACAAGATGTGACACTGTATGACAAGTTTTGAGAGCGTCAAATGTTAGCCACTACACCAATTCGGATTGGAATCTGCGCCGCTTGATGCGATAAATATCCACCCTGTTCACCTGTGCAGATCGGAGCAGGGGTAAGATTAAGCCAAGCCGTTTCTGGTACCACCGCCCTTCCCGACCCTAGGTTAGGGCTGTTGGCGGCTAGACATGTCGACCAATAGGTAGGTTGCGCCAATGTTCTTCTACAAATCCTTCGCATCGAAGTAGTTTCAGCTTGCTCGAGCTAGAGAAAGAGAAAAATACCTGTATACGAAGTACACGTGTGCCTTTAGTAGGCAGCAGCCTTAAACTTATTGCCATCAGAACTTCTCTTCCGGCCCAGATAAACGAAAGCTGCCCATAACATGTGGAAACCCAAGACAGGGCCATGAGCTTCAACCATGCCAAATATCCACAACATACTAGGTTAGGTAGGTATGCTTAGTGTGATGCGCACGATAAATGATGGGAAACAGTGTGAAAGCAGCGTATCGTTGGGCTAAGCCCATGTCTAGCTGACGAGGAGCTCTCAGAGTGAAGAGCGACACTGTGGCGGATATAGGAGTCGTTACTGTAGACCACAGTAACGGCGCGTCGTTTTACTGTGACGGAGATCTCCTTTTTGGCTGTGACCATCGTTGCCAATTGGTCCAATAATCCCATACTTTCCGAGGGAAGCTCTGGGTGCATCTCGAGAATTATCCTGACGGACGACTGCGCAATAATTATCGAAAGGTGTGAACAGAGAGGCGGGAATTGCACTGGGCAATGGGAACAAGAGCAATCCGGATGTTCAGGTTCAGAGCCCACGCGCACCGTATCAGTTTTAGGTAACCCGAAGCGCGTTGTCTTGATGTAAACGTAGGTAGGTATTCCTCTGAGATGCCAATCATGCGGCGAATTCCGTTCTGACGGAGCTTCCAGATTCAGATACCTACATACCAGTGCGCGTGTAGGACACAACGTAATACGCAATTGGCTAGCCGCAAGGATATAGCGATGGTACAAGCCCAATATTACATGATCATGATCATAGACGCCGGGGATATATATTCTTGTATTCGAGATGATGAACATTTTCGCTTAAGGCACTATATGCATAGGCGGGTGCGGGTACGAGATATCGTAAATGATGGCAAAGACAAAGAGATATCGTGAAAAAGTAGGCATGAGAAAAGGATAATAAAGCAATGAAGAGGGAGGCTTTGCCGCAACAGAGACAGAGAGAGGGAGCCAGCCCTCGTCCTAACTCTACGCCTCAGAATCAAATTCGTACCCAACATCCCGCCTCCTACTACCATTGAAGCTGGTATCCTCAAGTATGCCTTCCAAGTCCGCAGCAGAGCCTGCAAAAGCACCCGAGGACGCAGTTTGCGGCCCTCTCGCTAGCCTCTTCGAAGCCGTCCTGGACACGCTCTCTCACGGGGACGCGCTGCGGAGCGTAGGTCATGATCTGATACGTCTGCAAGTTGCCCTAGGCGTCCTGATAGGTATGGGTCCTGATATTTGGGTTGCTGGACGCAGTCGCCGGGGGTGCGGCTGGCGGGGCACGGGTGATGGTGCCGGCGGTATTAGTGGAGGCGGGAGCCGCAGCCGGAGAAGAGGCGGGCCGGCTATTTAATATATATGTCGGGTTAGAATCCTGATATTAGAAGTGGAGGTATCATTGTGTTCTCTCTAAGACATACCTAGGAGTTGAGGCGGCGGCACCGCCAGTTTGAGAAGGGGAAGAGCTCATTCTGGATGAGAGATCAGAATATCTTCTACAACCGTGTTTCAACGAAAATGTTCGTAGGAAGCTGTGTGCTGAGAGCAGGTCAGTTCTGGCCGGTGATGGGAGTCGCCGAGGGCCCAGGGGTGATGTGTTTTAGGCTTTATGCCCCCGGTTGTATGAAGGTTATCGCAGTTCTCTTAATATACTTCAATATCTATTTGCACTTTCACGATTTCAGCTTGATAAACTTCCCATAGCGATACAAGCTTGGTCATGAGATGCACTCGTAGAACGTGTGACTATTTTCTAGTATATACTTTGAACAATAGTAAACAAGCAGGGCATAATGCGGTCAAAGGATAAGATTCCAGGTCGTCGTCGGTTGTGCAAGGGAGGACTGTGTATACATCGGGAGTCATATAACGAAAACTTATGGCGTTAACTTCTTCCCTTTAGACATGGTCTGGTGATTTGAGATGTCTCATGTTGATTGGACGGCGGATAAGGGTGGGAGGACTCGATCATTAGAAACATTTATTCATCCAAACCGACTCTGCTGGGGATTTTCCCGAAGAGATAACTTATGACCCTTGAAAGACAAAGCGAATGATTGTTCATGAGAAGAACAGCTACTCAGGACTTCAAGTGGCTAGACACGAGTAGAAAACATAGCTTATAGACTGTGGCGACGTTTGCAAGGAAACTTTCTCGCATAGTGATAGTGGCGGCGGCATAGGAGCACCATTCATGGATTCGCCTAACTACCATAATAAGAAACGTGAGGGCCATGAACGCAGCTAGACAGGTTAGAAACAATTGAGAGGAACTAAGCCTACCTTATTCAGATTCCAAACACACCTTGTCGGATTATCAAACTTAGGAGTCACGCCGTTATCCTTGCTTACGGCAGATACCCTCTCCCCTATTACAGTGAGTTTTAGCTGTCCGCTAGCACATAGCATGAAAAGCTCACTAGCTCCCTACTCGACACCCTACTCGACACAGTAGCCGCTCATGGATATAGAATAAAGGCAAGAGAAGAAATATACGATCAACCCCAGCTTCGTTCAGTGATACATCCGATCCTCACATGACTCCATCAATTATAGAGGTAGCTGGTGTTTCGACATACAGAACACGTAGGCAGCACAATACAGCCAAGGCTAACGGCAGACTGCAGTAAATAGGACAACACAGAGCATAAGGAGATCGATGATATAGAGTAGCACTGCAACGTAGCCGGAGTCGGTAATTAAATGAACTATCATGGTCGGCGTGTCGTCAGTTGGATAAAACACTAGGGCGGCGTGGACAACAAGAATGGAGAAAATCATGTCTTTGAGTTACAGCGCAATGAGCTATAGGCTATAAATGCGCTCTCTCGCCGGTTCATGTTTATAAAATGTATTATATCGCAGCACACTGATTGCTCATGATCTAACGATTCTACTCCTTGCTTAAGAGTAAGAGCGGTGTAGTTGACGGTATTGTTGATGCGATCAGCAAATCATGATCGAAGGATAAAGGATTGAAGGAAGGGAGAAAGGTTTCATTCGACGAGATTATTACCGAACCTTCAATAACAGTGATATCATAGAGTATGGAAGAGACTACATAGGTCGTGAGTGAGACGTAAGCGTGCACGGGGCTAAGACCGCAACGAATCGGAGTGAAGAGTGAGCCTAGAAGCTAACGAGCCCCTGGGTCCCTTGCCACGCCTCGACACCCTTTGGCATCAACTACACTCCCCGGTAAACAATGGTAAGGGAGCCGGTAAGCACCAACACGAGCGAACTGAACCACGCCTCATACATTCCCAAGCATCTAACGATGGCCATAGTCAGTCTCATCAACCCCTCGATCCCACGTGGCTCCATGCCCGTCCACGCGGTGGGAGCTGTACATCAACAACGTCATCAGCAGCAGCAATAACAACACGACTACACGCGGAGCATAAGGCTGACTAGCTACCGTCAACTTCCTCTGTGACCGCCGAGGGAGGCAAGATCGATATTATGATAACCACTTGGTTATAGAAACAACAATGCAAGGCGTGAGACAGGAACACGGGGAATTGCTCCCCCTGAGACGACGGGATATCAAGCCGTTTGTCTATACGGATAACAAAGGGAAAGAGGGGATGGATACCTGGGTTAATTCTCGCGACTCCAGCCTATATACCTATACCTACACGGACTATCAGGGAAATGCAAGGGGCCGCAATTCTTGCATAGCCAAGCAGCCGCAACGAAATATGGCAGGAAATTAGTAGAGTTTCTAGGTTAGGAGCAATCTCTGAGCTCTGGCTCCAAGATGCAATACCGCGCAAGCAAACCACGAAACCCGTACCCAAGTAATTCATAACATTGAATGAACCTCAAGGGTATAGGATAGGATATGTGTATACAACAATACGACAGGACAACAACACCCCAAGGTAAACAAACTAGTGCCTAGAAACGAACGCTTCCCCCCGATACCCTTATCCTAGTACTAGTAAGCAGTTCAGTTTGTGTTCGTTTAACAGATTCTATGTCCCCTTCATCCCGTTGGCTCGGTCATAACAGCATGCTTCTTCCTCATTCAGTCGTCGTCATTCAAGTCGTCTTACCCCAATCCCTCAATCCCCAACCCCCTAGTCCACGCCCCAATCCATCCAGCAGCAGCAGAAAAAAAACATCGATTTATCGAATCACCGTCTGCGTGACGCCCCCAGCGGCCAGGCCGCCCGGCCTCGCCACCGCATTGCGGGCGATGAAATCGCGGTTCTCGATCGTCACGCTCTTGGTCATGTGGTTGACCTTGTACACGCCCACCAGGCGGGCGGCGAGCTCGAACATGTTGTTGCGGAGGGAGATGACGATGAACTGGGCGTTCTTGGTGCGCTCCTTGATGTAATTGGCCACAATCGACACCTAAATAAAGATTTGCGTTAGCCGGCTGTTTCCGTTTCTTTACGATACAAGAGAGAGGGGGGGAAATGAAGGGATGGACTTAGGTAGGTGACTCACGTTCCGGAAATCGAGCGCAGCGTCGATCTCGTCCATTACGTACAAGGGCGTGGGCTTGTAGTGGTGCAGAGCGAATACGAGTGCCAGACTAGACAGGGTCTTCTCGCCGCCGCTGAGGTTGCTGATGTTCTTCCAGCTCTTCTTCGGCGGCATGACTGAGAACAAGATGCCCTCGCTGAAGGGATCCAGGCTGTCGACCAGTTCTAGCTCGGCGTTGCCGCCCATTGTGATCATCTGATACATCTCCTTCAGACGGAGGGAGATGGTGCTGAAACCTTCCATGAAGCCCTCCAGGCGAAGACGAC